GGGTGTTAGCTCGTCTCTAGATGTTTGATAGAATTCACCTGTGAATTTCTATTTCTTCCTGGTTCAGTCTGGTAAAGTTATACCTTTCTAAGAATTTGTCCGTTTCTTCCAGGTTGTCCATTTTATTTTCATAGAGTTGCTGGTAGTAGTCTCTTAGGATGCTTTGTATTTCTGCACTGTCTGTTGTAACTTCTCCTTTTTCATTTCTAATTTTATTGATTTGAGTCCTCTCCCTCTTTTTCTTGATGAGTCTTGCTAATGGTTTATCAACTTTCTTTATGTTCTCAAAGAACCAGCATTTAGTTTAGTTCATCTTTGCTATTGTTTTCCTTGTTTCTCATTCATTTATTTCTGCTCTCATCTTTATGATTTCTGTCCTTCCTCTAACTTTGGGTTTCGTTTGTTCTTCTTTCTCTAGTTCCTTTAGGGTTAACATTAGATTGTTTACCTGAAATTTTTATTGTTTCTTGAGGTAGGCTTGTATAGCTATAAACTTCCCTCTTAGAACTGCTTTTGCTGCATCCTGTAGGTTTTGGATCATCGTGTTTTCATTGTCATTTGTCTCTAGGTATTTTTTTATTTCCTCTTAGATTTCTTCAGTGATCTCTTGGTTATTTAGTAACGTATTGTTTAGTCTCCATGTGTTTGTGCTTTTTATGTTTTTTTCCCTGTAACTGATTTCTAATCTCATAGCATTGTGGTCAGAAAAGATGCTTGATATGATTTCAATTTTCTTAAATTTATTGAGGTTTGATTTGTGACCCAAGATGTGATCTATTCTGGAGGATGTTCCATGCGCCCTTGAGAAAAAAGTGTAATCTGTGGTTTTTGGATGGAATGTCCTATAAATGTCAATTAAATCTATCTGGTCTATTGTGTCATTTAAAGCTTGTGTTTCCTTATTAATTTTCTGTTTGGATGATCTGTCCATTGGCATAAGTAAGGTTTTAAAGTCCCCCATTATTACTGTGTTACCGTCAACTTCCTCTTTTAGAGCTGTTAGCAGTTGCGTTATGTATTGAGGTGCTCCTATGTTGGGTGCATATATATTTATAATTGTTATATCTTATTCTTGGGTTGATCCCTTGATCATTATGTGGTGTCCTTCCTTGTCTCTTGTAACATTCTTTATTTTAAAGTCTATTTTATCTGATATGAGTATTGCTGCTCCAGCTTTCTTTTGATTTCCCTTTGCATGGATTATCTTTCTCTATCCTCTCACTTTCAGTCTGAATGTGTCCCTAGGTCTGAAGTGGGTCTCTTGTAGACAGCATATATATGGGTCTGCTTTTGTATCCATTCAGCAAGACTGTGTCTTTTGGTTGGAGCATTTAATCCATTCACGTTTAAGGTAATTATCAATATGTATGTTCCTATTACTATTTTTTTAATTGTTTTGGGCTTGTTTCTTCTCTTGTGTTTCCCACTTAGAGAAGTTCCTTTAGCATTTGTTGTAGAGCTGGTTTGGTGGTGCTGAATTCTCTTAGCTTTTGCTTGTCTGTAAAGCTTTTGATTTCTCCATCAAATCTGAATGAGATCCTTGCCGGGTAATCTAGCTTGTAGGTTCTTCCCTTTCATCACTTTAAGTATATCATGCCGCTCCCTTCTGGGTTCTAGAGTTTCTGCTGAGAAATCAGCTGTTAACCTTATGGGAGTTCCCTTGTATGTTGTCATTTTTCCCTTGCTGCTTTCAATAATTTTTCTTTGTCTTTAATTTTGCCAATTTGATTACTATGCGTCTCGGTGTGTTTCTCCTTGGGTTTATCCTGTATGGGACTCTCTGCACTTCCTGGACTTGGGTGGCTATTTCCTTTCCCATGATAGGAAAGTTTTTGACCATAATCTCTTCAAGTATTTTCTCGAGTCCTGTCTCTCTCTCTTCTCCTTCTGGGACCCCTATAATGCGAATATTGTTGTTTTTAATATTGTCCCAGAGGTCTCTTAGGCTGTCTTCATTTCTTTTCATTCTTTTTTCTTTATTCTGGTCTGCAGCACCATTCTGTCTTCCAGGTCACTTGTCTGTTCTTCTGCCTCAGTTATTCTGCTATTGATTCCTTCTAGTGTAGTTTACATTTCAGTTATTGTGTTGTTCATCTCTGTTTGTTTGTTCTTTAATTCTTCTAGATCTTTGTTAAACATTTCTTGCATCTTCTCGATCTTTGCCTCCATTCTTTCTCTGAGGTCCTGTATCATCTTCACTATCATTATTCTGAATTCTTTTTCTGGAAGGTTGCCTACCTCCACTTCATTTAGTTGTTTTTCTGGGGTTTTATCTTGTTCATCTGGTACATAGCTCTGTGCCTTTTCATCTTGTCTATCTTTCTGTGAATGTGGTTTTTGTTCCACAGGCTACAGGACTGTAGTTCTTCTTGCTTCTGCTGTCTTCCCTCTCAAGGCTTTGAGTTTTAAGCAACTTGCCTAATGCCACACAGCTAGAAAATGATTTATACTCAAAGTTCTGTCCAAAGCCACTAATGCTATACTACTTCCTGAAGAGAAGGGCCCTATCTGTAGATGACTGAACCCAGTGAAACTTTGATTCATAGCTAACTATACTAAAAAAACAGGCCAACGCAAACAGCTAAGTCAATCAAAACTACATAGCAATCATGTACACAAAAAATATTAAAGAAAAGCAAGCATATACACTATGTATATTTATATATGTGTGTGTGTCTATGTATCCTTAAGATTATTTACCATTTTAGATGTCATAGACATCTTTTCTCTGCATTAGGACCCATTATCAGGACTTGACTATATAGTTTTAACAACTGAAAGGTGATTTTGCTTTTAATGATCCCACTAGAAGCTTTCAATTGCAGATCTGTGTCTTATCTATTGATATATCCCATCCCCAGCATCCAGCACAATGCCTGCCACATACTTGATGCTCAGTATATAGCAAAGGAATACAGCAGTCCCCCATTATCTGCGAGGGATATGTTCCAAGACCCCCAGGGGATGCCTAAAACTGAAGACAGTACCAAACCCTATACATATTATACATACATACCTATGATAATTTAGTTTAGAAATCAGGCACAGTAAGACATTACCAACAATAACTAATAATGAAATAGAACTGTAACAATATACTGTAATAAAAGCTATGTGAATGTAGTCTCTCTCAAAATATCTTACTGTACTGTATTCACCCCTCTTGTGATGATAAGAGACGATACAATGCCTACATAAAATGTGATGAGATGAAATGAATGAGGTAGGCATTGTGACACAGCATTAAACTACTGCTGACCTTCTGATAATACCTCAGAAGGAGGATCCCCTGCTTTGGGTGATCCTGGATCATCAAGCCATGATGATGTGGATGGTTGGATGTTAGGAGCAGAGGACTGAGATAGGTGGGGATCACGGGTGTTAGAAAGTGGGACAGCTCAAGATTTCATTATGCTACTCAGAACAATGTGCAGTTTAAAACTTATGAATTATTTCTAGAATTTTCCACTTAATCTTTCTGGACTGCAATTGGTCCAAATTTGGTAATTTAAGTTACCGTGGCAGGTAACTGAAACAATGGAAAGGGAAACCACTAATAAGGGGGGACTACTGTACAATCCTTAAATTTTAAAACTCTGTTCTAAGGTGAATGTTCCATTTATATGAATGTATGACAATGCATACATACCTGGAACGTCACAGATAGTGGAGGAGCATTTATTTTAAGCAGAACAAGGTAAACTTCACACTTTCAACATAAAATTTCCCCCACTCTTTCTTAAATGCAAATAATTAAACACAAAACATGTTAATACAATCTTCTGGCTAACTTTTAATAATGGAAAAGTTGGAAAATTTAGTATTATCTTCAAAGCAACTACACCCTGGCAACAGATACATTAATTATGTGTGAACATTAGACTTAGTCAAAACAAAGCATGACATAAGAACTAAATTACAATTGTCAAGATTGTAGGCCTAAATTTAGCAACTTAAGCACATTTAATCATAAACTCCAAACTAACTAAAATTTTATTTCCTTGATTTTAACAATTACTAGAAAGGTAAAAAATATATACGAAATACAGTGAAACAACAAAGAGGAAAAGATGAGCAAAGCATGAAGAATGTTTCTTCTAGAGGTTGATGACACCCCACCCAGTGATATTTCCTTCAACAAAGATGTTAGTTAGTAACCCTTATCAAGAACAGGAGTCATCTGGCCCAGTCTATCCTGCCTTATCCTATTATCCATATGTTAATAGTCTTTTTTCCTATTTGACTTCTATCACACTCCAATGCAAATCCTTTTAGGAAGTTGGTAAAGACATAGGACGTAAATTTAAGTATTCTGTCTTCTATTCTTAGTTGACTTTTGGCCACAAAAGTAGTGACTCTACAAGTCCCTAGTATTCTACCCAATGCCTGGTATATAGCAGACACCCCCCAAATTTTACACATCTACTGATAGGAAAGCAGTGAGCCTGCTGGGAATATTCCAAGGTTGCCAACCTTCTTAAGCTTCAGTCTCTGTAACTGCAAAAATGAGCATAATAGCATCGACTTCATAACATGACTATGAGCATTAAAAGTGCCTAGTGCACAGTGACCACCTCAACTATTATATATTGTATTTTGAACCTCAGTTTCCTCATAAGTTAACAGGGATCAATAAAATCTAACCCAAAGAGTTGTGAGAATTCAATGAGTACACATATGTAAATCAATTGGCATAAATACTTGCCATAAAGTAGGTCTTCAATAAACCATAACTCTTTTCTTTGCTACCTTGCCTCTAAATGCCTATATTTTAAGAGCCAGAAGAAATTTAAAACCAAAAGTATTAGAAGGTTACTAGTTGGTTGAAAGAATAAAAATCACAGCATTCTAATAAACTTCTATGACATTTTCTGGCACCAATACAAATTGCTATGAAAGCCTAACAATTAGCATTTAGTAGTACATAAACTATGTTCTAGGAGAAACACTAGAAGAAATTCAAATAAGTCTTTTAAATTAGAATTCATTCACATTTTTACCTTTTCTTCTAGTTGGTCCTTCAAACACTGGTATTTTAGCTTCAGTTTTTTGTTCTCATTTTCATTCTGAGTTAATTCCTCTGTCAACCTGTCATACTGTGATTTCAACTTCTCTAGCTGAGAACGCTGGACTTTAGCCATATTCTTATCTTCTAAGCTTTCTGCCTGAGAGAAAAAGGAGAAAAGAGAAAGTCCACTGGCCAGAGCCAAGCTGTACACAAAACAAATTCCATATTATATCAGTGGGCAAACACTTCAAGATTTTGCTACCTCTAAGCATTCACACATAAACATACATGCAAAGGAAACATTCTTTGCATGTGTTCAATTTCTCCTTAGCATTCACTGAGCAAGCAATTAAGTGACAGGTACTCTACTAGGTGCTGAAGATAACAGGTATGAACCGTAAAAGAGACAGATGCAACAGTCAATTCTGACAACGATGAACAAGAAGTGCTTAATAAAGGTGCAAGCAGAGGTACATGCAACCCAAAGAAGGGACACTAACTGCTGAGAGGGGAAGGGTTATTAGAGAAATGTCCCCATAAGGATATACTATGGGATATTACTGCCTGATTAGTCTCCTCATCTATAAAAGGAGCTTAACAATATTCCTATTCAAGCTACGCTCTTGTTTTTGTGAAAGGCTTTTGTATTTTTTTGTACAATGTAATTATTAATATCACTCTTGTGGGGCTAAAAAGATTATGGATCAGAGTAGCCAAAAAACTATAAATAACTTAATATGAAAGAGTTTACCAGTGATTATTTCAGTACCAATAGTGCAATAAAGTACCTCATTTTCGTTTATTATTTGGAATATAACCAGGACCAGCTTTAAAACAAAAACAATAGGAATAATCTGTGGATGGGATTCAATAAGGATTTGCGAGGCATGTGAAGTTAAAGACTTAAAATAACAATGTAAATACTGACTATATGTCAGGCACTGCTCTAAGACCTTTTCGTATAGTTGTCCCTTATTCCATCCTCACCACAACCTGACTAGGGAGACACTGTTATTGTCTCCCGTTTTGAAACTGAAGCAGAACACTAATCATTTGCCCAAGGGTATGTAGTGAGTAAAGCAGAGCCAGGATTTGAACGCAGGAATTCTCTCTACTGTCCATGTTTTCAGCTGCTCTCCCTCACTGCCTTTAAAAGGTACGTATATCATATGGTTTTAAAAAACAGCTGGGTGCAACTTGCAATGTTAACTAGTTACACCTACCAGTTACTGACAGCCTGTAAGCACCCACATAGAATCTGTTTAAAATACATGTTTCAATGCCTAAAATATATTTGTTTCTTTCCTTTGTATAAGTTCATTATATGTATGCAATCAGGTACATAGGAACATAATCGCTGGAAGCAATTTCCCAAAAGGAAGAAGTTTTGTGAGTTTCAGACAAGAATCTATACTTTATTCACCTCACAAATTTCAGCTAAGACTTGATGCCACTTTGAGTTAACAAAAGAACTGATATTTTTAATGAGGAATCCTGTATTCACTACCCAAAAATAAACTTACAAAATAAAGTCTCTCATCAGGAAAATTGTTCGATTATTATTTTAAGTTTCAGTAGAATACTTAGCTTTTTTTGTGTCTTATAAAAAGTATAGTTTTCCCCCAAGGCCAGTGGTGTCTGGGCCAGCTCACAGAGACACTCAGGAACCAACTGTGCTCATCTCTTCCCAACTCTGTCTCCAGTGATGCTGTTTGATAGCTTGAAACCCGCCAAATGGGGTTTTTTATACTGTTGAACTTGGCAAATGCTACAAATCAGGGTTCCTCTCTTTGCCCCCGGAGAACCTATTTTTAAAACAGTTACAAGCACAGTAATGCCTAAATTTGACTAAGAACTTACTTCTTGTTGTAGTTTTATTATTACATTTACATTTCATTTTAGGGCTTACAAAGTGATGTTAACACTCATAAAAACCCTGTGATAGAGAAAGACATTACTGTTTCCATTCTACTGATGAAGTACAAAAAGGTTAAGTAACTTGACCAAGATCATATGGCCAGCAAATGGCAAAAATACAGAACTCCACTCCTGGTTTTCTGATTCCAATAAAGGCTCCTACAAAATTATTTTTGTTGAAATCATAATAAGGTGATAACCCAATATCCTTCAAATATTAATAGCAGCTAGAGTATTTCATAAAAATATTTAAATTTAAAAACAGGCATGAGAAGGGTAGATCTAGACAGGGAAAAATATAACTTCTGCAGAGAAAAAAATATGGGTAATGTATCACACTTATTAGACTCAGAAAAAGTAACAGATTAAGGTGAAGCCGAAAGACAAAGAAATGTAACATTTACAGAGCTATTTATCTAAAGCCCTCTTGTACATAACTCAGTATATTAAATCTTCGATGACGACCATTGCTATCAACTCCTGTTAATTAATATAAATGAGTCAAAAGTATGGAATTATATTCATAAAATAGCATGAGGTGGGGCTGTTCCTATGGGTAACTTATTCGGTTTAAGAAAAGAGTACTGGGCTCTCACGATCCCTGGTTCTCCTGTTAAGCTCATATGCTTCTTTTGTACCACATTACAGAGTAACTACAATATCCCTCCGCACCTCAGTCTTCCGAATTAAAAAAAAAAATCTAAAGTTTTCGGAGAACCTACAGAATAGTTCTAAACGGTGTCTTCTTTATATACAGGTAATTTCTTAAAGCTTTATTGTCACCTCACTATACACAATTACAAAGCACTTCCTTTGGATGAGGAAAGCAATTTTACTACATTACAGGGAAAGTTTCAAACATTTTAACCCAACATCAACGGAACATGTTCTGTATGTCTCAAACATCATGCTAGACACCATAAGAGGATACAAAAATGTCTAAGACCTGCTACCTGCCCCTCTGGAGATGTATGAACATACAACAAACACACCATAATATAAGGCAGCCTAAATGTGCTGTACTAGCAGTTCCATAAAAGAGCTATGGAAACACAGAGAATAGAAAGATTTATCCCAACCTCAGTTGAGATATATGCCATCTTCAGTGAATCCATAAAAGAAGTGAAAAATTAATTGGGCCTTGAAAGATTAGGCAGCCTTTTTCCTCCTGCAGATTGAGGGAAAAGACAATCCAGTCCTCATCGTGTCTTCATACTAATAAACAGAGATTTAAAAATTAAAAATATGGAATCTATATCATATGATGATGAGTGCTATGGAGAAAAACTAAAGCAGGAAGGAGGGATAGATTTATCACACTCCTGACAATCATGTTATGAAATGATTCCCCTGCATGGTGATAAATGCTAATACCATTAGATCTTACAATATTTCCCCAAATGTAAGATCTCAATTATGCATTTACCCAGGCAACTTTGATTTGGAAAAGAAGGGGTAAATCTCAAAAGCCTTGGGTTTACATACCCAAGTATGGTAGTTACCATACCAATAAGGACCATGGTTATAGCTTCTATGGCCTTGACAAGTCTTTGCCTTTTATATTTTAGGAGATCATAAATGTTGAATGAGGGCACGTTTCAGGTCCACGACTTACTGCCACCTCTGCCTTTCCTGAACTCCCAAAATAGCTAAACATTCTTTTTAAAGGGCTTCAGTGCTCGGAACTAGGTGCTTCCAGGTGGCTGCTATAACTCATTTCAACCTGGCCGAACAGGCATGAATAAGCCTCTTTATTGTTAGTTCTATCTTCCCTTCAGTGCTTGGGAATACAGAATGATCTCTAAAAGTTTACGCTTTATTAACTTCATGAGCCACCAGAAAATTTCCTCCAGTATCATCAGGATAATTCAGTGTGGGTACCTTCAGTGTCCTAATATGATTCTCGGCCTCACTCTTTTCTTTCTTGAAGTGCTTCATCAGCTCCCGGATATTCTGTTCATGTTTAGTTTTCATACTCTGCAATGAGAATGTGAGATCTTCCAGCTCCCTCTGGTGAACATCTCTTTCCAGCTTTAACTGTGTAATGATTGTAGCTGTTTCTTCGTCTTTGGATTTTGCCTGTGTCTTGAGGTCAGAAAGGTTCTTAAGTACCTCCTTCCTGGCTCTCTGTTCCTCCGCTAATTTATTGGCGAGATCTGCCCGGATGGCACTCAAGTCCTTGATGGCCTCTTGCATCTCAAGAAGCTGAGCTTGGTCCTTGGCCTGGCTCTCCTTCAGCGCTGCAATTTCTTCCTCCAGGTGCGCTTTCTCAGCTTTCATCTGGCTTTGAATCTTACTCTGCGTTTTCAGTTCACTTTCTAGCTTATGGATGGTATCCAGGGAATCCCTGACTTCTAGTTCAAGGTCAGCTTGATGAGACTTAACATCACTTAGTTTCTGCTCCTTACAGTGAAGCTCCTCCTCTTGAAGGGCACGCCTGGTTAGCACATCATTCAATTCCTTTCGAAGATTCTCTATTTGTTGTAACGCTGCATAAAGCTGGCTTTTCAATTCATCCTTTTCTTTTAGAATCTATTGGGTTAGGGACAGAAAGCAAAAATTACTGTAAAATTCACCATATACACTGCCAGAAGACAAAAATAAGGTTTAAGTCACAAGGAGAAGAAAAATTCATAAAATAATATTTTGTACTTCTTTCTGGTTTTTTAATGAAAAATACTTTTTAGGCTAGAAAAAGGAAGAAAAGTACAATTGCTCTGAAGTAGCACCACACTGAGATATATGTTTCAGATTTTCATCACCAAAACGTATCAATCCATGATCATAAATAATTATTTAAATGTAAGGTAAAACTGATCAAAAGAATGGGGGGAAAAAGGCTCCAATTATAATTTACCAGAGGTTGAAATAATACAGTGTTACTTAAAGTAACATGATTTGCATTTCAATGGCACACTTTTTAAAAGGAGAAACCTCAAAACAGATACAAAACAGATTCGGAAGATAATATAGGGAAGCAAAAAAATATAATCTACGAGAGGTTTTGGTACAATCAGCCATTATTAGTCAGATAATGTCCACAGTGACAAGAAACACACCAGTATGTTAACAGGGAGTCTTCAAGTCCCATGAAGGTAGAAATGAGTTTAAGATTAGGAGAGGCTGGGAAAGGACTCACAAGAAAAGTCAAAGGACCAGAAGGCCATCGCCCTCTGCCAGCCTTTATAGGGGGTTAGGGCTGACATTGAGGGACAGCAGCCAAGAACTAACCTGCTAATCCTCACCATCCATCAATGCAAACAAAAAAGCCAGCACCTAAGGAGGCTGAAACTGCCCCCCACCCCCGCCCCAACACTGACACCAAGACCATTTCTGTACCTGGTTACTGATGCCAACCATGGCTTGAACCCGGAAAAAAAAAAAAAAATTAAGATTCATTTTAGAATTAGAAATAATGAGTTAAGATGCAAACAGTTTCAAGGCATTTTTATACTTGACATTTTACACTGCAGTGTGAAACAATTCATGATAAAATGTAATGAGTCAATCACTCCAAAAAAAAATAGTTTCCTCAAATCCCTCTCATTTTAACAGGGAGAATCAGCATAAAGCTAACATGAGAAATAATAAAAGGAGGGGATTAAGCAGTTGAGCTCTCACCAGGAGAACTGAATTTGATTCTCAGTCCAGTCATAAGCAGTTCTATGGCCTTAAAGAAATTATTTATCTTTATAAAGATAGTAATAAAAGCTACGTCACAGGGTTGTGATGAAGACTAGTGGGAAGGGAGAAACAAAAAGTGGGGGTGGGATTTAAGTTCAAGGAGAAACCATAATCTCAGGGAGGTACTTATGCAAGATAGTGATCAAAGCTGTGAAGAGAGGGGATAACTGATAACGCAACGTCCCTGGATTGAAAAGAGTCTGGAACACAGATGACAGAGTTCACCCTAGAAGAAACATTTTTAACACAGGAAAAATGGCTAGAAATATAGATAAGCCTAAGGGTGGATGTATTAGTTTTCTATTGCAGTGTAACAAATTCCAACAAATTTCGTGGCTTAAAACAACACCCATTTATTATCTCATTGTTTTCCAGAGGCCGTAAATCCTGGCAAGGCATTCTGCCTCCGGTCTCCTAATGCTAAAAGCAAGGTGTCAGCTAACCTGGGCTTTTAGCTGGAGGCTTTGGGGGGAGAATCCACTTGCAAGTTCATTCATGGTGTTGGAAAAATTTAGTTCTGTAGACCTAGGACGTGTTTCCTTGCTAGCTTTGCACCAGGGGGTTTTCTGAGCTTCTGAAGGCCACCCACACTCCTTGGCTCATGGACTCCTCTGTCTCTGCAGCCAGTAACACCACACTGAACCCTTATCATGTTTTGAATCCCTCTGACTTCCCTTTCTCCCAACAGCCAGAATAATTTATCTGCTTTGAAGGACTCCTGTGATTAGATGAGGTCCATCCAGATAATCTCCTTATCTTAAAATCAACTTGCCAAGTAACATATCATAATCATGGGAGTGATACTTCATCTTATTCACAGGTGCCAGGAGTTAGGTTGACACATCTTTGAGAGGTCACTCTACATACCACACAAGAGAAGACAAAAACTGACAGAATCCAGTCTTGGCTGTAAGGGTAATGTGGGAGGGACCTTAGAATGAGGGAAGGGTGCATAAATATAGTGACTAAATGTTTGTAACAGATAACATAGGCCCCTGGCTCTGAGTTAAGAGATTTCCATGTAGCCCTGAAGATAAAAATCATATTTCCAAGATAGTCCTAGCACATAAAATGTCTTTGATTTCAAAATACCGTAAGGTGGTTTAAACAGCAAGGATATTTATTTTTCTCACATGATGGAAAGATCAGAGATGCGGTGTCTCAAGAAGAGTCCTTCAAAGCTCAGGCTCTGCTACTCTACAACTCTCCAAGTTTCACCCTCAGCTTCAGTGTTCCAAATATTACATCGATTCATGACCAAAGTGACAGCCTTTGGGTGGACAGTCTCCGACTATGTTGGTCAAGTTTAGAATTTCTTTGGCAATATAGATACTAAAAGCTAAGTAAGTTCTATTTTCTTTTGGTTAATGCTTGGCTAGTAGCCATAGCCCAATATTTTGTCTAGACATTGACTCCGAGCCTGAAAATGTCAGTGTCTTAACTGCCACCTCAATATCCTGGACATTCTCAGGGGCCCTCAGTTGACTAGCCTTTATCTTGAGGGAATTCAAAACAATGGACTTGGGTCTCCTTTGTCTGGCCAGAAGCACTTAAATAGGAGAACTTGAAAGGGGCCTGAAAAATCAGGCTTGTTTTTTTTACCTCATTTAAATTTCTGCTAAGTTTCCTACCTCTCTCTCTTGCTTGGACTAACTTCAGCATGGATAAACAATTTGGCTTTTCCAACTCCAAATTATCAGATTCAGTAAATGCGGATTATAGATTGCAGATTTTCAGTCTCCCAATGCCCCCAAATCTTGCTCTCTTCTTTTAGACAGATCAGTTTCAACCTATACTTGTCTTTGCCTTCCAGGACTTTTCTGAAGGCTGCAATAAGTACACAACAGACTCCAACATCCTAAAGTTTTTCTACTAGTCACTTAATACCATCCCCTGAAGCACAGCATCAAGGTCCCAAGGTATGACTTCTGATGGTTCAATCAACAGCATGGCAAGGTTTTCCAATTATTCCTTTAGAAAAGTATGATCCTCCCTGTCCTGACCCCACTTCTCTACTTAATCAATCCTACATTTTAGGTTCTTTAACTTATAACTCCTTACTCCTAGAACTGATGTTTCACATAAGCTTGAATTTCTTCTGCTGAGAGTAACAGAAAACTCCAGTTCAAGCTGGCTTAAACTACAAGGTAATTTATTATCATTCCAGGCAGAACTGCTCCACAGTCTCTAGATCCACCTCTCTGCACTGCTCTCACCAGTACCCTCCCTTGGAGTGAGGCTTCATTCTCAGGACCATAGCAAGACAGCTTCAGCCATTTCTGGCATCACAGCCAAATATAACAATGTTCAGAGAAGAGGAACATCTCCTTCCTAGTGTTATCTTTTTTAGGAATGAGTAAATGTTTACCAGAAGCTCCCCAACAGACTTCATAGTTCATTCTTCAGAAGAAGAATAGTTCTTGATCAGGCGAGGGCTATATGCCTAGTAACTGGCCTACATTAATTTTTTAATGGAATGGAATGAATTGCGGTGCGGTCAGGGAGGTAACCAAGACCACTACAGGAGCCAACTGATATCCTACGTAAGTTCTGATAATACCACTCAAGAGCAGGAACAGAAAAAGTAGAGAGCTGGGTTGATTCCAGATTGAACATCAGTAAAATGTGTGATGTGGAAGCAAGAAATTGAAGATGCTGGTGAACATGTCATCAGAGTAGCTTTTCATGAAGTCCAGTCTGAAAGGAAAAAACCGATTCCAGGAAACAGCTGGTCAACCAAAGGAATGTGGAAAGATCAAAATCAGATGGTAACAGTTAAAAGAGGAAAAGGGAATAAAAGAAATGTGGACAGAGACTGAAATTTTAGAACAAAAGATCTGAACACAGAGAAATTACAGATGATGACAAATCTTACCATTGAAATTAGCTGCTGAGTGATTTGAAGGTCACTATAAAATAGGAAATTAGTGAAGTATAAGGATACAGAGTTCAATGGGTTGCTGACTTGAACTTGGAAATCACCGAAGATACTGGCAAGAATTACATGTAATGAAACAGGCTAAGGGGAAGCCAGGTGTGAAAATCCTTGGGAAATGTGGAGGCGAAATGGAGAAATGAGAAGCAGTCAGGAACAATGGGAAGGGAATGTTCTAACCAAACACTGCTTCCATAGAAGAAGAGCTGTAAGGGAAGATTATAAGACGAGGATTGAAAATGTCTGGTGTGAAGCCAAAAGAATGATGCGGCCTAAAACCATGGTGATTATAGGAACAGGAACCAATTCCTCCAAGGCCTGATTGCCCAGTATATATAGTTTTCTGAATTAACTAAAAGGTAGACAAGAAAAATTTTTAAAGAGAAAAAGGTTATTTTTCTGCATGTGAGGGAACATGCAGAAAGACTACTGGGTTATACTAACATATCAGTGCTCTAGCCTTTCCTAAATTGCGTGTAACAATTACACATTAAAAAAGCATGCACTTTAGCACTGATCCTTCTTACTTTTCAACCATTAAGAAATTCAAATATTAAAAGACAGTATATATTACATATAGCTCTTTTACTTCCCTCAGCATGAAGGCAATACACAGAAGGAAAAGACGGCAATTTAAGATTCTTTAAGTCAAATACTATCAAGCAAAAAGCTCAATACATGGGTAAGCCAATTATTCTGCCAATTCAACAAGAAAAACAAGACAAAACCAAACCAAACCTAGAGATCATTCCCATTATCCATGTTATAAAAAAGAACATGAACTTGGAAACAATCAGAAAAGTATATATTATGATCAAAGTCCAAGTTCAGATTTTTTCCTTTATCATTTTCAAAACACATATAAAAACCAATGACTTCAAAAAGCACTTTAAAAGAAAAAGGCAATGCGGGG